CTGGGTTTTTTTAAGGACTCACTGAATCCTTACAAGATGAGGTGGCAGCTAAAGATCTTCCAGAGCTCCTTGAGGATTTGATTCAATATATGTCAGACATAGATATAAGGGTCAGGCAGAAACATCTTCATTTAGATAGGCAAAGAAGGGCTTTAGGGTGAACTGCTCCTCGTCCTATGGTAACCGGATTTCCAGCCTTACCGGTACCTGAACCTGATCCCGAACCCATGCAATTAGGTACTACCAGACTCTCTGAGGCTGAAAAGTCTTACAGAAGGAGGGAAGGGTTGTGCCTTTATTGTGGCATGTACTTAACAACTGCCCATCTCGCCCGGAAAACTCCACCGCCTAAGCTCGTTCAGGGGGCTGGCCTTGGGTGTAATGTCTCTGTCGCCTAAAACAGCTCCACACAGGTGTCTTATACCTGTAACCCTTTCTTGGGGAAAGTTTTGTCACCAAACTATGGCCCTCATTGACTCTGGTTCAGCTGACAACTTTATTGACAAGGCTTTTTCATCATCCATTTGTCTTCCTTTGGAAGAGAGAAAAAAACACTTGGCCATTGAGGCCATAGATGGTACACCTTTAACAGTCCTGTATGTGACACACCAAACGGAAGCTGTTATTGTAGTGGTGGGCGCAACCCATTAGGAAAAATTGTCATTTCAAGTCATTTCTTCTCCTTCTTGTCCCCTAGTTCTTTGTTTTTCCTGGTTACAAAAAACATAACCCTATTCCTGATTAGAGAGAAAGACAGCTTTGTCTTGGAGCCCCTCCTGTGAACTTACTTGCATAAATCATGTTTGACCCCCCTGCTCTCTTAATGTTCCTACGTCCCTTCCTCTATCCACTATTGTACCACCTCAATACCAGGATCTTAAGAGAGTGTTTGATAAAGTGGAGGCTGACCGTCTTCCTCCTCAAAGATCCTACGATTGTGTCATCAAGCTCCTTCCTGGCACTATGCCACCCAAGGGGAGAGTATACCCTCTATCTCAAATTGAGAATAAGGTTATGGAGGAGTACAAGAATCCCTAAAAAAAGGGATTTTTTAGACGTTCTTCTTCTCCAGCAGGGGCAGGTTTCTTTTTTGTTTCTAAAAAAGAGGGGGATCTTCGCCCATGTATAGATTATAGAGGCCTAAATAAGATTACTCTTAAGAATGCTTACCCCATACCCTTGATAACAGAACTCTTTGACAAGCTTCGTGGTTCTAAAATATTTACCAAACTAGATCTTAGAGGAGCATACAATCTTGTTCGCATCAAAGAGGGAGATGAGTGGATGACGGCTTTCAACACCCGAAGTGGCCGTTATGCCCTTCGGTCTGTGTAACGCTCCTGCCGTCTTCCAAGATCTCATCAATGATGTTTTAAGGAACTATTTACACACTTGTGCTATCGAATATCTTGATGATATACTCATTCACTCTCCTGATATACAAACACATCACAGACAGGTCAGAAACATATTACAGACACTTCTTGCCAATGGCTTGTATTGTAAACTCGAGAAATGTTTATTTGATCAAACATCCATTCACTTTTTGGGTTACATAATATCTGCTAAAGGGTTTCAAATGGACCCTAAAAACTATCGTCCATTCTCGAATGGACTTTACCCATTGAACTAAAGTCCATACAGAGATTCATTGGGTTCGCTAATTATTATAGACGATTCATCAAAAACTTTTCTCAGATCATAGCTCCAATTACTGGTATGACAAAGAAGGGAGCAGATCACGTCTATTGGTCAATAGACGCTAAGGCCTCCTTCTCTCTTAAAGAAAGCTTTTGCATCTGCTCCTATCCTGGTACACCCAAATCCTTCTAGACCCTTCATCCTTGAAGTAGATGCCTCTGAATCCAGTGTGGGAGCTATGTGTGGCGAAACAGGTTACCCCCTCTCCCCAGCGGCAGTCTACAGTTCAGAGAGAGGAGCTTGTTACACCCTCTCTCCAGCGGCGGCCTAACCCACCAAGGGGAGATGTTAAGCCCCACAACTATGCAAATGGGACCGTAGTCTCTGCACTTGCAGCACCAGACAGT